CCCCAAAACCCCAAAACCCCAAAACCCCAAAACCCCAAAACCCCAAAACCCCAAAACCCCGGGTATATATATTCCGATGGAAGTGTTTTCTAATAAATTAATTTAAATTATGGGTTGTGGAAGCTCAACAGGAGCCGACGGAAAGATTTGTATGAAAAAGACAAAATTACCTGCAGTTGATGAATTCTTTGATGACGTCCAAGGATTTTGAGATGAGGTCTATGCAATTCAAGACCCCATTGAGTCTGCAGAAGACAAGCTTCTCTATGATACTGACTTCCATCATACCGATGGGGCTAATGTCAAACATGCCATTGTCGGAATCGTGTTCAGAGTTGCTTCTCTAGGAAACTTAGACAACTTAGATAAGTTTGTGAAGATTACTGATAAGGAACCCTTCATCAGTCTTGATGCAAGCTCAGCTTCATCTGAAGCATCTGCTTCTATTGATGCAGCAAATGACTATATCAACTCTGTAATTTCAGCCAAGGACAGAATAGAGCCTTTGGCTGACAAAGCCCAAAAGTTTGCTGAGAAAGCTCCAGAATTGCCAGGCAAAGCTAAGGATGAACTTGGCAAAGCAGCAGGACTTGGTACCATGGATAAGATCAGAGCAGTCAGAAATACAACTGGAAATGTAAGAGCAATTGCCAAGCTCCCTACAGTTATTACAGATTTTAAAGATTGTGTCATGGAAGCCATCACAAACATTCAATCAGCAGTCAAAGAACTTAACTCTAAAAAGGCCAAGCTTAATGATATTGGCAAGAAATGCAGTAGTAAAGGTCTTACCACTGCAATGGCTTGCTACCAGGAGTGCGGTGATCCAATTCCTAAGACTGGAAAGAAGCCAGGAGCTAAAGCTGGAAAGAAGCCAAAGAAATAACCTAATTTCTATCTAATTATTTTCTGATAAACGGCTTGTGCTTAAATACGAATTACATGTTAAATTCTGAATTATCAATTGTGTCAATCGTCAGTAATTGATTTGGGGTTTTGGGGTTTTGGGGTTTTGGGGTTTTGGGGTTTTGGGG